CATATTGTATACATATATACTAGAAGATCATATTATTATTTTTTTCATTTAAACATCATAAACATCATATCATGACCAAATAACATGCGCCTAGATCTTATAAGTGGACACTATATGAATCATAACATGTCTTTAAAGGTTTGCTGACCTTTCTTGTTGGTTTGTTGGCCAAGGTCCCACCTTATTTCATATTTTTTGGTGGGACAAAAAGTTAAATTTGCATTTCATTAAGTATCTTACCCAGACTCAATCTAATATATTTTGATGTAAAGCGACAGAAATCAGCACTACTTGCAGTGACAGCAGAAGCAGGTTGAGAGTGAAAGAGCATGGTAATATTTCGTGTTGAAATCCTGCCCCTCATGGATTCTTTTGAATTCCATAGTAATCTAATCTAACTACTTGAGATCTTGTATATATAAATACCAAATCCAACCAAAGTTTCAAAATTCACACCTTTAAACAACATCCATATATCCAAATAGTAGTTACAAAAATAGCACAGCAGTGGTATCAGAAAGCAAAATAAAGATTTATAAGTGCTTGCATTCCAGACGATCTATGCTGCTTCTATTCCTATCTTGATCTTGTTAACTCTTACCACGACTGCAACATAGTATATTTTATCCATGGTTTTCTCAGCAAACATGAAAATTAAGGTTCCATCTCCACAATAACACCCCAAAACTCTAAGATTTGAAGCTTTGAACAAAGACTTTGGATTTCTTCCAGTGAAGTTATTTTTGTGTAACCTCAAAACTACCAAACTCCTAATATTCTCTCCGACCCATTCAGGTATAACTTGTTTTCACTCACATCTAAGATACCTAAATTCCCCAATTCCCGAGGAAGTTCACCAGTAAAGTTGTTGTCATTCAGTTTTAACCACTCTAATGAATTAAAAAGCTACAGAACTCGGAATGACATCGGACAACTGATTGGAGCTAAGTATCATGGCGTCAGCTTTGCAGATTCTCAAGACAGTTGGGAATTTTGCTGGCTAATGAATTTTGTGGAAAGATGAAGATATTCCAGATCTGTCCTTCTGCACAATGACCTTGGAATCGACTCATTGAAAAAGTTATTTCCCACAAGTAATGAAGAAACAAATCCAAACCTATTATGAGTTGCCCCATTAGGAAGGTTTGTCAAAAGGTCCGCTGAGATTGTTGTAAGAGAGATCTAAGAAAGGAATGATGTCCCGAAATTGTAGCCTTAGACAAATCCTATTCACAAAGATTCCTTTGATTTCGTAGCCACTGTGGAAATCCATTTGCAATATTGCAAGAACTGAGTCGAAGAGATCGATGCCAACTGGAATGGAGGTATCCAGTCACGTCAACTTGGTGTTAGAAGAAGCATCCAAATCCTTCAACATTGAAAGGTTAGCAAAATGGGCTTCTGAACTACTCCTAAAAAATTCTAAGAGAAATCTAGAGAACTGAGTTTGGCAAGCTGCCCAATTGAAACCGGAATAGTCCCGTTTAACAAATTTGAACCCAACGAAACTGATCGTAATGAAACAAGCCTTCCTAGAGATGCTGGGATGGGGCCCTTATCTGATTGTAACTTAGATCCAAATATGTTAAAGTTGCTAGATTTCCAAAGGATTCTGGAATTGAACCATTCAAATTATTAAATGAAAGGTCAAGTTTGGAAAGATTCTCAAGGAATGTGGGGTTAACTGGTTATTGGAAAGATCAAGATCTAGAAGGTTAAGCATAATAGGAACCGACGAATTCAGCATGTTTTCTGAGAGGTCAAGAACACTTATTGCCATGAAAGTCAATGACAGACTTATATTCTTGTGTGGTGGTCCTAGCCTAATTTTCTTTTTCTCTTGATTCATGTCCGACTCTATTCCCTGTTGCATACGCAATTGTATTGGCCACAATTATACATAAATAATGAATAAAAAACATCTTATTTGACAAATAAGCATTTACATTTTCGAGAAATCAAAGATAATTTATAATTTTTTTGTAAATGACTAACAAGTTGACGTGTCAAGCCCACTAGAGGATAAATTTTGTAACTTTAAATTCAGTATTTAGTCTTATCTTATTATAAAATGTAGTATGTTTATATGTTTTATAATTATTTTGTGATGAGAGACGATCACCGGGAAGCCTTGTTGGTTGACTTGGAAAGTGTGTGTGTCGAATACATCTCTCTGATTGATGCACTAAAAATGGCCTAAATAAACTACATAAATAATGCAAAGACCAAGGCTAGTCATGAAACATTATATAATTAAATAACCTAACTTAAAACCATTAAAGGGGTGGACGACTAAAAAAAACAAAAACAAAAAAACAAAAGCAAAGAATAGAGAAAGCATCATAACCCAAGAGATGATAAATATAAAAGAGCTCTTTATTAAGCCAACATATATATATATATATATAATATATATATATATATATATATATATATAATATATATATAATATATATATATATATAATATATATATATATAATTATGGCTAAATGCAATAAATAACAACTTATTTTCACTTATGTGTATTATAGCATCCACCACACCATTGTATTTTCTATCTTTTTTCTTATTAAGACATTGTAGAACAAAAAAATGTAACTAGTTATAGTAGTGTACTTTCAAATTTTATTCTTCTTAAGACCATTATTATACTTTGAAAAATATATACGGTTTAAAGAATGTGATGTGATGATCAATTATTTTATTCATTTCACTGTGACACTGATCATCCAAAAGCATAACGTGTTGCTTGGTTTATAGAATGTGATCATGACGATGAATTAGACAGCAATGCATTATAAAACAAGACTAAATTGCATCATTTTTTTGTCCCTTTGTTTAGGTGCACTTTTGGGATGAGGTCCAAAATAAAATCATTTAGCAATTCCAGTCCTTATTAGAGGGTCAAATGACGCATTGGTCCCTGAGCGTCAACTTTAATAGAAAATCTATTACATTTTTTTACAATGACAATTTGCCCTTTCATTTTGGACGCAAATGGTAAAAACTAAAATACCATAGGATCAAAACGGTAAAAAATTACATATAGTAAAATATTCGGAATAGATGATTTTTTAATCTTTCTGTGTGACGCTTTTGTATGTTTTTGGTACACAGTAATTATATTCCTTGTTTTAAGTTAGGGATGATGAAGGTAGTAGTGGTGGTGGTGGTAAGACGTTAAAGAAGATTTAATAACAAATTCAAAAGTAGTAAGTAAGGGCAAATTGGTCATTTTAAAATTTTAACAGATGCGTTGTTAAAGTTGATGATCCGGGGACCAAAAGCGTTATAAAACACTTTAAGAAGGACCGAAATTGCAAAAAAAAATCCTATTGGACTTGATCCAAAAAGAACATCTAAAGACAAGGACAAAAAAATGTAATTTAGTTCTAAAACAATAAAAGACAAAGCGACAATATTGGAAGACTTGTAAGTCAATGGAAATTTATGTCCAAAATCTAATTATATGTCCTTTATTAGTCCCCACATCACAATTAAGTGTCTTAGGCCTCAAGGCTGATGTGAACAGCTCAATAGAAGACAAGTTCTATAATGTTCTGTCTAAATTTTCATATTATATATTAATTACATTTAAATAAAACTATTGTTGCATGCTAGAACTCATGTCTTTAAGGATTTTATACATTTAGTTGCAACACCAGCAAAAGATTTGACATGGTGTTTACAAGATCTGGCATGACAAATTGATACAAAATTAGCTGTCCGATTGTGAACCAGAGGTTCTTTGTAATCTGTTCAGCTGCATGTCTTGCTACAGCATGTGCAACCTACAGCCATATTAATGTTTAGCAAAAAGACAAAACACATTTTTCACCATTAACTAATTGTCTAAACAACCCTTTGAGCGACAAAACCATCAATTTAATGGTCAAGTGAGTAACCTAGATCAAGATCTTGTTGAGAAAAGAAATATGGGGAAATTATCATGAAATCCATCTTTTTTTTTCTTAGGTGTGAATTGTGATTGATAAATAAAAGTGTTATATACAAAAAGTAGCATTCAACTAATCCTTTTAACTACTTCCCGCCTCATTATTCATTTCTTATCATCCTATCAAGTCATTTCTTAACAAATATTAAACAAAAATGATGATCATTACAAAGTACACATAAATAGTCATACTAGTTCTTAATACAAAAATAGTCATATACATATGTAAAGGAATTTAATTGATATGAAAAGGTGAATAAAAGCATACCTCATGTCCAATGATGGTGGCAATCTCTTCATCAGTTCTAAAGTGCTCTAATAACCCTGTAAACACAACAATCTTTCCACCAGGCAAACAAAAAGCATTTACAACGTGGTCATTCACTACCAAAACTTCCCAATTTAACCCCTCCAAATGACCAGTAGCCGATTTTTCCCCCTTTTCTTTCCCCTTCTTCCGACTTTGATCCACCCACATATCATCTTTTGCACCAGTCTCCTCTGTCATCGCCATTAAAGTCTCCGATGCAGCTCCACTCTGAGAAGCATAATTGAAAGCAGTCCATACTTGCTCTTTCTTCAATCCTCTTTGCAATGCTTCGATTATGTCCTTTGAAATTAATCTCACCCTAATGCTTTCTGGGTGAATTTTTCCTTTGAACCCAGCCTTGATGTTCTTAAACTGAGACTCACCAATCATTCTCTCCAAATTTTTCGACAACAAAACAAGATGCCTCCGTTTTGTGTAAGGTATCGTCTCAACATTCCCAAAATATACAGTTATCCCAATTCCAGATCCCACTAACACAGCTATCAAAACGTTCTTGGGGTTATCAGACCATCTTCTTCTGTATCCGAAATGCCTAACTTGTCGTGAATCGACATAGTAATATCTATTACCAGTTGCATATAATCCAGAGTTTAAGCTTCTATCAACACGTACAGGTGGAAACAGAGAAATTTTCGAAACCCTAAGAGGGTAATATGCACTACAAGTAAGCTTACTCAATTGATTACTATGTGCGTTTCGGATTGTGTTTTTGGGAGCTGTTAATTTGGAGGTGAAGTAACTAGAAATTGCATCAAAACCTAGTTTTGACCACCTTCTATACCATGCCATTTTTTGAGCTTACAAAAAAAACCAGGCTCAAAATAAGCTTTGTAGAGTGTAGAAAGCGATAGACGGTTGGCATATAGAAGAGTTTGTTGTACTTGTACAAGAAACAACAATGGCGTGATTCGGCATACAGGAATCCAGAAAGGGAGAAATCTGAAACTTCAAAAGGGAAAATGGACTGAATTAACAAACACCTGATTATGTTGGTTGTTATTCCCTTTTGTCTTGTCTCTAGTGGTAGTATAAACAGACCTTATGTTTTAGGAAGAAGGCAGCTAAGAATTATTAAGAATTTAAGATTGTTCTTCTTGGAGAGTCCTTTCCTCTCGAATGTATCAGAGCATCTCTATGTTTTCCCTCTGTTCATTGCTAAAATTTTACTTTTCCAACAGTAAGTAGAAGAAAAAGTCATGTGGGTTTTAGCAACTATGGGATAAAAAGTCTTTTAAAAAGATTATGTGAGCACATGGAAGCTCATCAGATTACAAGAAATGTTTTCTGTTTTCCAGTTTTCTGCAATGCAAGAGCAAATAGAGGGACATTTCATGTACTTGTATTGCTGCAACAACATAGACTCTGTGGTCGATGCACTGATCAAAATAAGATATTAGTCGATACAACACGATACAACCACTAATGTAAGTACAAAAGGGTCGTCTACTGTGAAGCAAGGGAAATAACTGACTTCGGAAGCATATCCTCCCTTACACAGTTAATAACGGATTTTGCACACAAAAAACATAAAAGCGTATGTGCATCATTTTCGGCAACGCTAAATTTATATCTGTACTATCTTACAGCGCCCAATTTGTGCGTTTTGTAGACAAAATAGAACAATCTCATGAACCAATGAGAATTAGGTCAAGCAGAAAAAAAGGAAAGGGGAAAACTTACCAAGTGAACAAAGATGACTCGAAATTGAGAAGGAGAGAGATGAATCGGCAATGGAGTTTCATGTCCATACCTCGCTGGTGGTGACCATGGATAGGTGAACGCGTTGGGAAGATGTTTGGATTTCATTTTGAATTATGTAGAAGGCTTATCAACGAGGGAAAAAGGAGATTTTAAAAAAGTATTTGGTTTAGCTAAAACAAAAGTCAATAAGCTAAAACAAAAGTTAAGTCGGTAAGTTAAAAAATGTTTGGCTAACTTATTGATTTTTGCTTGTTTTTTATTCTAATAAGTCATAAGTCATTCCAAAAAGTCACAAATTATAACTTCTTCAAAACTCATTTTCAAAGGCTAAACCAAAAGTTATTTTAAAAGTCCTTATTAAATATCCAAACACTTTTTTTAAGTCATTGACTTTTCAAAAAGTCAATAAGTTAAAAATGAGATTTTAGATGAAATCTCAAACACCCTCTTATACTGGTCAAAGAAGATGATAGATAAGTTTTTTTTCTTTTTTCTTTTGACAAAATTATATAAACGGTCCCTGTATTTTTCAGATTTTTATGTTTCATCCCTATTTCTTTTGGTAACATGTATTGAAAAACAAAATTAGGAATGAAACATGTGAATTGAAAAACCACAGGACCATTTATTTAATATTGTCAGAAAAAAATATATATATTCTTGTTCGTTCACCAAGTATAGGACTTTTTCCCATCGCATTCACCCTATCCATGGTCACCACCAGCAAGGTATGGACATGAAACTTCATTGCCGATTCATCTCTCTCCAATTTTGAGTATCGTTGTTCACTTGGTAAGTTTTTCCATTTCCTTTTTTCTTTATGTTTGACCTAATTCTTATTGGTTTCATGCTTTGTTTGCTTACAAAAGCCTCATGCCTACATAATCTTTTCAAAATACTTATATCCCATAACTGCTAAACCCACATGATTTTGCCTACTAATTAACTTTTTGCCGATTCGGTTCATTAGTAAGAAAGCAATGAACAGATACAATTAAATAGCAAAATAAAACACTTGAAAAAAATCCTAAATGTGATGCTCCGGACTACCAAGTTGATCTAACAGGTGTACACGGGAGGTTGTAGGCCGCGCAGAGCTGACAGAAACGTTATGATGATAGGCGACGGTCAGATTTGGAGTTTCAGGTCAAGAATATGGTACTCTTAAAGGTGTCACCTTGGAAATGTGTCATTCGATTCAGGAAGAGGGGCAAGTTGGGCCCCATGTATATTAGACCTTTCAGGGTGGTTGCCCAGGTAGGCAAGGTTGCGTATCGTTTGGATCTACTCGAGGAACTGAGTCAGATCCATGGTACTTTTCACGTCTCTCAACTGCAGAAGTGTTTGGTTGATGATTCCGCAGTGGTTCCCTTGGAGGACATTCAGGTGGACGAGCGTCTGAATTGTTTAGAGGGACCAATTGCCATCCTCGACAGGAATACGAAGACTTTGTGTAGCCAGGTTGTGAGCTTGGTGAAGGTGTAATGGAAGCACCGTAAGGGTTCATTGTGGACATGGGAGCCCGAGGAGGAGATGAGGGAGCATTACTCTGAGTTATTTTTGGCGGCGGACTTCGAGTATGAAGTCTGATTCAAGTGGGGAGAGTTATAACACTCGTTTCAGGTATGAGTCAAATCATTTAAAAATTTCATAAATTTATTCTTGGACTACCACGGCGTGGTGGGGATTTACCACGGTGTGGCGTTATTTTCTTGACCACGGGTTTAAATGACTCGCCACGGCGTGGCAGCCGATATTGGAGAAACCCTAATCCCTGGGCTTTGGGCCCTATATAAAGGACATTATGGCTAGGGTTTTGTGATCTTTCAGCCTCCATCACCCTCTCAAGACCAGAAATCGTAACCCTAGCCTCCCTTGTGTGATATTGAGCTTTTTGTGGTGTTTGGTTGCATTTTGAAGGAAGGAGAAGAATGTGCTAGCCCAAAGATCAAGCAACAACCCCTTTGCATCATTGGAATCACTCTCTGGACCATTTGTAAGTCCTCAAGTTTCCATTTTTATGATTCTTTGGTTCTAGATCTAGCTTTATTAACTTATTTTGGTCTATAAGCATTGTTTGGTTGGTTTGATGAGATAAAGGTTGCAACTTTATGACTCTCTTGAGCATGGGCGGAGCTAGTAGGGGGCTGTCAGATGCTTTTCCCCTTCAATTCCTTTAAACTTCAAACTATATTATAAATAAATAATGAGCCTATCACTAATTTGAAGCCCATATCGGTTTTTTATGATGCGAAGCTGAAACATCCCAAAAATACGCTCCAAAAATTTCGTTTTAAATCATTTAAGAAAACCATAATTCATTAAACATCATAATAAAAATCATAAGTCGTGTATCTCAAAACACCATATCAGAATACTGTAGCAAATCACATGTTCAAATATCAGAGCCTAAACATCCCAGGCTAAGAACTGTGGTGTGTGTCATGCAGTCATCCGAAGCTCTTTCCCTTGCTAATGGAAATACCTGAAACCAAAACTGAAAACCGTAAGCACGAAGCTTAGTGAGGCTCTCCAAACTACCACATATCATACATGTATCACATAAACATATCCCGACATCGAACCATATTCGGCATTGGGCCTCGCCCGCCATCGAGCACATCTCGGCATACATATGAGCATATCTAATAATACACATAACATAAGCATAATCACATAATCATCTAATCACATAACTTAGGCCTCACCCACTACATCGGCCCCTACCCGACATCGGCTTGTCTGGCATCGGGTCAGGCCCGACCCGTGAGGGTGGGCAACCTGGGCGACGGCCCAGGGACCAAATATAGTTTGGGGCCCCAATTTCGATTTTTTTTATGTAGATATATAAGGAATATTTCCTTTAAAAGTAATCGGTAGTGCAGCTGAGTTGGTAAAGGTTTGCCCGCGTAAAAAATTTCAATCAAAAAGGATCCGTGTTCGGTTCTTCCTTGTTCTACTTTTTAACTTACATTGAAAGATTCTTTATATTTAATATTATCTCTTTTCAATGTAAAATGGGTGATAGCCCAGTTGATTTACATGCTTTTTAAGTTTTTGATGGATCCGTTCGACCCCTGTAGCTTGTGAAGTACATCATCTAATTCATGAACTCTCAATAAATCCCATTTAAAACAAATCTAGTAATAAATTAACAATGATATTAATATTCATTAATTTTTTTTGCAATATACTATTTAAGTTTAATTCATATTTTTTTTAAAGGCCCATTTTCTATTTTAGCCCCGGGCCCATAATATGTTTGGGACGGCCCTGATTGGGCCCCGCCCGACATCGATCAAATCTCGGTATACATACAAACATATCAACACATACATATAACAATCACATAACATAAACAGATATAAACATTCCTCGGGCCCCGCCCGACATCGGACCGAAATCCGGGAGCATACAAACATTCCTCGGGCTTTCCCCGGCATCGGACCGAAATTCGGAACATATACAAATACAACCACATGCAAGAATCACAAAGACATCATGCATACAAACATTCATCGGGTACCGCCCCCGCATCGAGTCGCAACCCGAAAAAACATATAAACCTACATCGGGCCCCGCCCGGCATCAGACCTTAGTCTGGAACATACTAATATACATAAACGGGCCGGCCTTGGTGCCTTAGACCCGTTCCTATAGGAGAAGACTCACCTCACACTGCTGAAGTCCAACAGACAAAACCCTAGTTGCTGGATGACAGATTCCCGATCTGTCAATATCAAAATAACACCCAATTAATAATTGGGTTTCAACACATAACCATAAGTCCATGCTTGGGGTAAAAGACTACTTTACCCCCAACTTAGCTTGATTCAAGCCCAAGGCCCAATCCAAAGGCCCAAAAGTCTAATAATGAACCAAAGCCCAACATATGGCCCAATTTTCCAAATTGGGCCCAAACATTTACATGGTCTTACCCTAAGGCCCAACCATTTATTCCAGTCCAAACATTTGACATTCTAATGGCCCAATATCTCATAATCATCAAGGCCCATCTATGGCCCAATTTTCCAAATTGGGCCCAACCCTTCATATGGGCTTTACCCTAAAGCCCATCTAAATATTCT